ACCCCGTTTGACCATCTAGTATGTAGGTCACTTTCTTCTTGTAGTCTACCAGCCATTTAGGCCTCATTTCTCCACTGACATTTCCCAGACAGCCCGTCAGCTCTTCACAGCTCCCATGGCTAACGGCAACCCTCTGCCACACTGCTTCACACCGTCGGTTTTCGACAGCTAACAACGCCGTCAGAGTAGTTTTCTCCTTTTTCTGTCTCACAGTGACTGTCTTTCTTCCCCTGCTGTCTCCACCTGCGTGTTTTACGGCTGTCAAGCCCATATGCTGCCAAGTCTGCGGGAGGAGGAATGCTTTGCTTCTTCACAGCTTCTCAACCTGTTCATTCATTAGGATGTGTGCTCAGCGGTCTGGTCAAAGAGCATCATCAGTGTGTGATTGTGGTTAATGAGCATCCACATTTTAGGCTGTGGGACGTCAAGCTTGTGTTCATCAGATTGTTTCCACAAGAGGAGTTTGGACAGCGCTATGCCACCAATCCTCAATCAGCTGGCTTCTGTCCTCCCTGCCAGGCTAAAGCTGTCCAGGACAAATGGTCCTGTGGCGCTTACAGCAGCGATACAGAATGACTGCAGTTTTCATTTGTGGAAATTCTTTTGCTAGCCTGCTGCATAATTTTTTGCAGCCTGTTGGTAAAATTTGTGCCTGTAAATATACGACTGTTAAAATGAACCACCTTCCTCAGACTCTCCTCAGTAAAACCAGGAATGGGACTGAGATTATTATAGTGAACTGAAACTTATTAACAACTAATAGTAGGTGTGGGGAAAAAAGGAAAAACAAATAAAGTTATGTAGTTTGAAAAAAACTTAATTAAAATAATAAAAATAAATAAAGTTTTAATTCAAATAAAAAAATGTGAATGAAAAACCTTCAATTTGGTCAAAATTTTCCTCACAACATGCTTGTCAAGGCTTGATTAAATTGTTTTTTTTTTTTATTTCTTTTTACTTGGATGTCTGCTGGATGTCTGTGTTAATATTACAATATTTTTTCTTAACTTAAAGAAAATCCCCACAATATGACTAAAACTAACACTGAAATTGATGAAAACTAAAACAAAATGAGCCGAAGTGTGGCAGCTGGGATTGTCAAACTCAATACCAACTCACAGGAAAATATTAGATACTATTTTTAATAGGATTGGAGAGAAAAAATAAGACAAATGCGTCTTAATTTTTTGTCATAAAAACTAAGGGGCGTTTTTTTTTAAAAAATATTGAAACAATAAAAACAATAACATCAATGACAACAATATTTCTAAGCTGCCTGATCAAAAAAATTAAGATTCTCTTAGGTGGTGAAAAAAAGAGAGACTATTTTTAGGCTCTCTGAGGTAGTGCTGTTTTTTCTGGTGACACAAATAATTGTGTTATCCAGCTAAATTAACAGTCTATTAACAATGAGGGAAGAACTCATTTGTAACCTAGCCTCCACATAGTTGCTAGCTGCTAGCTTAATGACGACAGATGGCTAATGTGGCTAATCAGATAATTGCTAATAGTTTTACAGGTAGCATTAACATGGGTACTGGCTAGATTAACATTTATGATAACTTTTTAACACCTGAATGTTGTTGGCATGACCTCTGACCTCTTGAAATTTGTCAAAGTGTCAAAGCCATGGGAACAGGTGCTATTGGTAGAAGGGGCTGTGTGCCTGCCATTCTGCAGTACTGTGTGAAGTTGTGTGTCAGCTGGAGGAGGCAAACAACGCGCTGCTGGTATTAACACTGCTGCAAATGATCGTCTTATCCTTTTCAGTAGTGATTTGTATCTGAGTATTAATTTTTTTTTGACAACGCTAGTAGCAGTAATATGGTTTCTGAATGGAATGATTAATAAAACCTGTGAGATGTGGGAACTCTAAATTGAGTTGTTTGCCTTATCCTGCTTTGTTTTAAGTAACTGTCTCATCATAATGACTCATTTGCTAGCCAGTGGTTCTATGTTTGTTTTTGTTTTGAAGAGTTTCTGGCATAAATCGATTCTGCTGCTGAAAATCTCTGCAGCCAACAGTAGTTTCTCCTGTGACCATTTAGTTGTGATTTGGCTCTGATCTGAACACAATTGCCTGTCCCAGTGGTGCTGTTCATATACACGTCAGTGGGAGTGGTTCAATGCATTCTTTGGTCCCATATATTGAAATTGTAGTTGTATATGTGTGTAAGAAAAAGAGCACATGTGGATCAATCTGTGTGAAGACTTCAGTGAGCCACTGTGCTTGCTTATTCTCTGACTTGGAGTATCATTTCACATAATGTGGCTCAATTTGAAACAGGTCAGAAAAAGGCTCAGAAGAGGGACCCCAGCAGCTGGCAGATATAAACGTAATGAGTTTTTCAGCATTGTAGCAGTGTTTCAAGCTCCTTTGAATTTATAGAGATACAGGGCAATGGAGCATAGCTGCCACATGTCCACCCCAGGGAAGGTGCACCAGGAAATACTCTCAGGCATCAATCTGCTTGGGACAGAAGATGAAGACGGATTAGATTGTGATGTCATAAATCCGTTTTCTCCTCAGGAAGTGTGTCAGCATTGGGAATTCTTACAGAATTTCCAGAGGGTGGAATGGATTTGACTGAGACTGGAAAGTGGAAATCTTTTTACTATAGGAACTCAGTCTGATACCTAATAATTTTCAGCCTCTAAAGTAATACTGCGGTACTGTAATGTGAAATCCCGCACAAAGTCAGTATCAGAAAACATCTGTATATGGAGGGAGTTAATATGCCTTTGCTGCAGTGCCAAAAGCCATTGCTTAGCTCTCTTTGATTGGAAAACAAAGGAAACAGCAATGACTGATACTGTAGCTAATAAACAGCAGATTTTTCCTTGAACTGGCACTAAATCTGACTTTGGCATACTGTGCCATTATTTAGATGTGGAATAAATACAGAGACAAGCAATGCTGAATCCAGAGTCATGGCTTAATCACGTCTGCAGGGCGTATTCTGCAATCTTTTTGTAGATCTGAACAATGTGACCGTTTGTATACCGCTGTTCCTTATGTGTTTTTCTTTCTTTTACATACCATAGCTACTCCCTCTTTAAACAGAAATGGATGGGAATGCCAGAATTCTTTACATCAACTGGACATCCAAAAATCAGCCACACACACTGCCAGTACATATATCTTTGAAATTCATGCTTAGGACAATGCAAGAAATATGCAATCTTACAGCTCAGTGTGGCACTGAACTGTCAAGGATTGTGTCAATACGGCATCAATAAGTCATCTGTCCTTGAAGAAGATGAGCTAAGGTGGAAAGATTAATGTCGGGACAACTTTAAAAGACCTGACTGTCATTTGAGCAATTTCAAGGACTTTGTAAAAAATTGCTTGATGTTTTCAAAATGTCAATCATAAAGGTCAGCCTATGTCATAAACAGTATGAATCCATGGATTTATCCTGACTAAACACTATAGCCTGGTGGTGGCATTTGAGCATTGCCTAAATGTCACTGCTTTGCTGAACAGGTGTGTCCTTTAAGATGGCACTTCCTGCAGGATACTGCAGCATTTGAAGATGTTTCCAGAAAGAGTTAATTTAGTGCAGCCACCCAATATCAAACAATATCAGAAGATTTTGAAATGTTGTTGTATAACAGCTTACATGCAGATATTTGACAGGCTTCTGTTTATATAACAAAACAAAACATCATTGCTAAACGGGAAAAGCATTTGTTTTCCGTATATTTGTTCTGTCACCCCTCTCTTTAATAACCCCCAAATCTTTGTCTCTTAGGCTTTCTTTTTTAATGTTGTCAGGGTTTCATCAGCGATGACCACCCTGAAGATAAGACACTGGAAATCCAAAAAGGCATGTGTGTGGGTGTATGCGCGTATCCTCGTAAGCACCTGTAATGAGCTCCACATGTGTGTGTATCACAGCCCAGGCTAACGAAGCCCAGTCCATTATTTATTTTCCTGTGGTCCTGTCGCTTTGCCTGTCGATGCACCTGTGTATACACGCACACACATCCACCATCTGTCTATAATGATCGTTCTCGTTCGTGCCGCATAGCACTACAGTCCCTCGAGTGGTCATTAGACGAGAGAGTGAGAGAGTTGCTGTGGAAGGGAGAGCAGTGGTTTCGGTGTAGATTTGGAACTAGTTTTTGGTTTTACTTTGGGAAGGAGTGCCTGGGAGTCCGTGTAGGGTGGACACATAATGCTCAGAAAGTTAATAGAACACACAAAGTGTGTGTTTTGATTACTCTCAGTGCCTTCGAGGCTTATATGATTTGCTTTGCCTGCTTTGTTTTTCCCTCTGTCAGGAGAATACAATCTACTATTGAGGTTTAAAGTAAATCTTACATTTACACAAACCAGAGGTCAACAAATCCACCAAACAACCTTGGGTGTCGGAGTCAAGTTCATCTGGTTAGGACTTGAAAACAAACCTAAAATTCAAATCACTTCTTCAATTACTTGATTTCCTGTTTATTTGCAGCAATGGCCAGCTCCCAGCAGGGAGCTGCTCCCATTATATCCAGAGCACTTAGCTTTCTGGCCTTGTGGCCCTACCCAAATCCCCTGTGCTGGCTCCTGCTAATCCCCACCGATTGTAGAAGGACATGGCAGACAGAGAGGGAAGGGGTGGGGGGCGGTGTTCGGTTGGAGGAGGCTGGAACAGAAAGACAAACAGGCAGCTCAAATGTGGCTTTAAAGGACGTCTTAATATCTCCCAGTAGAGTTGGAAATTAACTTGAACTTCCTTTTAGCACCTTGAGCCTCCTTGATTTCCAACAAAAAAACACTAGCTTTTAAAGAAGTTCTCAACATTTATTATACCAGGATTATGCTTTAGTAAAAACCTAAGTGCACTGTGTGTGTGTGTGTGTGTGTCACTTTTGTCAGAAGTGTGCAGTTGTTTTAATCCCTCAAGTGTGACAGCCTCTATGCTGCTATGCGCTCATTAAGCTGTTACTGAATAGTTTCAGAGGTAAAATTTAATTATTAATTTTTGTTTGCATCCTTCTCTTTGCAGGGAGCTGAATGGGAATAACCTCACACGAATCACGAAGAGTGACTTTGCTGGACTGAAGTACCTCAGAGTTTTGTAAGTACTCACCTTCTGTTTATGGGCAGTAATGAACTGTTTGTACAGTAGGAGTATCTGTGGAGCATGTTGGTGGCTGAGTTTATCTAGCCATGCATATCTGAATTGTATCTACCCTAGCAGTTTGCAGCTATACTGACTTTCTGCTGATATTAGCATAAACCCACTGAAGTGGCAATGCATTCATCAAGAGTCCTACTCCAAAGTACATTAAGCTCCTGAGTGACTGCAACCACTGATGTAATGGCCTTCTCTCTCACTGTATTCTGCCTGTTGTAGTTGCACTTTACCGTCCCTTAGACACACACATGCTCACTTGCCCTCTGTTCCCTCACATCAGCATGTAATGTGCACACAAGCGCCAGTCCTAAATGGGCTCTCAACACAGCTAACACATTCAGGTGAAGTCATCAATTCCCTCTCCTGTGAAATTAAACAGCACTTGTGACTTTGGGTAATAAAGTAGTTATAAAAGTTTCTCTGTGTGTATGTGCACACAAACTGGTGAGCATTGCTATAGGTGTTAAAAATGCTGCTAAAGGGGAAGCGCTGTAGACCCGAACATGTTTTAAATGTAACATGATCTCAGCATAATTCCTATTACCCTGCAAAGTCTGACTGTTTTCAATCCTCATGGTTACTCGCCCATCCCCCCTGCCCATTTTTTCCCCTCCTGGTCCCAACGTTTCTCGTCCCTTGTTGTCTTCCTAAGCATGCCCCTTTTTCTGCACCACCTCCTACCCTCATGTGGAGGTTAAATGCCTTTGCGTCGACAGCTTGCTTCTAGCAAGTAAGAAGGAAACAACTTGCAGGGCTACCAAAAAAAAAACTTCCCTTGCTGTTAAGCTTGTGATCCACTCTCACTGCCACAGTAAGGCACACATACATACACACACAGACACACACACACACAGGATTTCCTTCCATATACATGAAGTATGATAAACAAAATGCTGGTACAACGAAAGTTGTAAACTAAAAAACAAGTATCTACATGTGTTGGCTTTGTGGGGCAACAGCAGGTTGACCTCTGATCCTGCCCTCAGAAGGAGCAAGAACAGGAGCAGAGGTTTATCTTTACACTGAGCTGCCATCTCTTCTGTCAGTATAAAATCAACACAACTGATTTACATCCACCTATACGAGTGCTTGGCTCTTCAAAATCTGCAGTGTGTCTCTGTTCTGTGATGAAATGTGTACTGAGTAATAAAGGAACAATGAACAAAAAGTAGATAGCAAAAGAGATCAGAGAAATTGAAGGTTATGTACCCGCAGGTTGCCTCAAAAAAAAAGAAAAAAAAAAGTTTTCTCAATTCAAAAGTACTCATCACATTTTTTCCGCTTCCATCTAAATTCATGAGAAAGAGATCTGAGATGAATTGCACGTTTCTCTCCATGTTTATGGAGTGTGAAAAGTGATTAGCATTTATATTCGATGGGGAGGAAGCCCAGATTGCTGAGTTGCAGTGCGCCATGGCCTCACAGGAGACATGAGAGGTTACCTTCAACACAGAACAGTTGTGTATGTAATGAAGGAGAGCGCTTGTTGCTTCTAAAGCTGCTGGACACTTTTCTCTCCTTCCTGATTTTGTGTTATTGTAACACTTCCAAAACTATCTAAGCCCCTTTTTTGTGTGTTAGCTTTGGCATTGTACTTGAGGAACGGATGTGTTGCAACTTGTGTGCATGGATTCTGTGTTTGTGTGCATCCATGTTTGCTTGTTTATGTCTAATAGCCTTGATGTGGTGCCTAAAAACTCTGATATGGTACAGCTATGATGTTTCCCAGGCGCGCACGCACACACACACACGCACACCCCACTTTCCCTTGATTCAGTCAGATGTCAAAAACTTGGAGCTCACCTCACACTTTCTGACCCCCTGCCTACTTTTCGTCTCTTCTCCACCCAGCTACTACACTCAGTGGACCACACTAGAGCACCAGACACACACTTTCTGAACCACCTTGGAAACTTTCCTGGCTGCTATCCCTCCTCCTTTTGCCAAGATTCCCAGTGCCCCTCAGTCCACACCACTGCCCTCTGTGTGTGTGTGTATGTGGAAGAGAAGTGTTGAATATACTGCACCCTACTTGAATATATAAATACTGTACATACTGCAAAATCCCTTGCCCCCTAAACCCTAAAACCAAGCCCATTATACAATTCTAAAGCCAGAGTGACCCCCTACAGACTTTGACGTGACGTAACTTCTCGTTCCCTTCTTTTCTGCAGGCAGCTGGTGGAGAATCAGATTACTGTGATTGAGCGTGGGGCCTTTGATGACATGAAGGAGCTGGAAAGACTGTGAGTATGACCAATGGTTGTCTTTAGATAGCCTGAACACACTTAAACTTGAAATGAAAATCCCACCCTTGTACTCATGTGTTTTCACTCTCTGTATTTGTTGGGGGTATGAGACTAACAGGAATGATACATAAAATCTTGCAAAATCAAGTGTGTGGCACTATCCTGGCCTTTCATTGTGGTTGGATGGTGCTAAGAGGGTACGGTGTGGGCTGCGAGTATTTTTATTAGCTCTGCCTGACAGGAATGCCCTCAGTGGGATGTGTGGGCTTAAAAGGCCTCCCCCACCGCAGACCCTGGCTCATCTGGACAGCACCAGGACTCCTTGACAGCTTGTAAACTCGCCGGGAAAACACACACACAAACGCAATCAACCACTCCTTAACCCGCTCATTAGTAAATCAATAGTGCTAGCCACATGGAAACCTGCACAGCAGATGACTTTATGGACCACGTCGTAATGCAGACATAGTGGTTAACTTATAAAAGACTTTCCCCTGATCTGAAACCCACATTAACAGTCTGTGTTACCAAACTTGAGACCACGCACAGCTTGCCTTTCCTCCTCCTCCTCCATATTCAACTGATCCCAAACATTGGGTAGACATTTCCATGTGCCAGACCAATGTGGAAATTGAGTGGCTCGTTTCTTTAATGTTTAAAAGCCACTAACCCACCAGCAGGTACAGTTCAGTGTGAACGAAGCAGCAGCAGACCATTAATGTCCATTATGCACTAAATCTCCCTCTCAGCTGGCCGAACACTCTTCTCAGTGTATACAGTGTGTGGCACAAGTCCTAACATCTGTCTGAATTTGTCTGAAGGCATGGCAGTGGCCTCACATTTGCAGCGTCTCTGTGCCACAGTCCTCGCATTCGCTCCCATGGGCCTCAAATGGGCCATTCAAAAAGGAGAGAGTTGTGGTTTTCAACAGATTAGCAACAGTCTGTTCTCCATTGACTTAATTGTTGTATTTGCATAAAGCCTGCCAGTCTTAGATGTTAGCTGTTTGACGTGGAGTCTCTTGCCAACCACCGCTCCTCTCAGTGTGTCCTTGGGCTTGAATAAGCTCATCCATTCCTCTTAATTTTATTTAGAAACATCTTTTTTCGATAGATCGTCCCGAATAAAATGTTTTAGTGTTCCTATAACTGAATGGATATGATTCACTTTTAAAAAAAAATTGGAATGTTGCTATTTTGTTGTTCTGGGAAAGTCAACAGAATGCTATTTTGCAAGGCAAAACAAAGTAATTTAACTGTGTAGCGATAATTTACGGCACTGTCTCTGACCAGCAGTTTTAATTCCCCCGAACTTTCAGTTGGATATTTATGTGACATGCAGAGCACACTGAAACACAATAGCCTGTGGCTAAGCCGATTCTACGGCAGCTAGAAGAAATTATTCACAGTCTACACATTCAAGGACACACATGCATAGACACACACACACAATCACTGGTTGATCATACGTTTTCCTTGCTGCAGGCGGCTGAACCGTAATCAACTGCAGCAGCTTCCTGAGTTGCTGTTTCAGAAGAACCCTGGCCTGTCTCGACTGTAAGTACATTCGCTTTTTTATTAATTTACCTCTTCCTCTCTGTCAGCGCACACTATGCAAACTACCAAAGATGGGTCAGTTAGGCAAGTCTGGTGAATTCTGGCTTTGGTTTGATTAGGTATAAACACAATTAAAGTACAAATATATTTCAATTGCACTTGCTGAAATACACATCAGAACTCTTTCTTGTTGACCGTAAGGCAAAATGAACTGAGTGAGAAGAATGGACATCTAAACTAGTTGGCTTCATATCTACATTAATGGATTCATAAGCAGTAATAACTTGCACATTCATTTGCAATTTGTTTGTGACGCAGTTTTGAAATTCCTAATCCGGAAGAACGGTCCTTTGCTTCTGCAGCTCACAGCACAGATCCTGCTCTTTTAAATGGCAAAGATAATTTAGCATTCCAAATTAAAGTCACTATGCCGACAATGCTTGCTGCCTCAAGTGTAACAGCTCCTTTGCACATATGGAAAAAATCGTGGTTGTACTTTGGCTCTCTCATTGTGTGGGTTTGTCTGAAAAATAACGTAAAAGTGTCTGAATGACAGAATGGCACCAGTTTAAGAGCTGGATGAAGCCAGCAATGTTACGTATCCCGTGTCTGAAAAGGGCTTCAGACTGTCTGCAAGAGGATCCAGGGGTGACAGAGATTTGATCAGACTGGAGCTAAGGGACAAATTAGACTGTGAACCTAAGTCCAGGTGAAAGGATGGCTTTGTTACTTAATGAGATTGTTTTATGTCATGCGAGTCGGCCAGCATGCTCCACCTTCATCATATGAATGGTGAAGGTGGAGCACACTTTCGTTTGCTTCTTGTTAAGACCGGTCCCATTTAGTCACACACCCACGCATCCTTCCACTCGTGCACCTCATGCAGTGAGACGATCCCACAGTAATGCTTAACTTTTATTCCCATCTACAAAGAGGCTCTATGTTTCTTTTTCTTTCTTTGGTATAATCAGTGTCCCTGTTGCTAACTGATCATTGGAGCCCCTATTATTCGTGTTCAGATTACCTGGAGCATCTGGGAATAATGAAACAGTGGGACATGGAAAAGTCATTTCCCTTCCTTCTGTACTCATAGTGATACTACTAACCCATGATCCTAGCCTTAGCCCTCCATCTGTTTATCTTGCGTTTGATGTTTAACACCATCTTGAATCTATCTGTCGCTTCCTTGCAACTATTTCCCCACGTCACCTATCATTATGCCCAAACCAGCCGCTGGGAATTTAAGGCCTCCTCTTTTGGTATAAGGCTTGTTGTCTTGTTGTTTGCTCAAACTGAGCAGCACTGAGTTGTGTGTCTAGTAGACTAAGAGCAGACCAAGGCCTCTCAGACCAGCGGATGGCCTTGAACCAGTGTGATTGGTCCATCTGGAGCAGCTGGCGTAGCCAGCAGCCAAATGATTGTGCTAACACATCCAGTGTAACTTCATGGTGATTATTCTAAATCTATCACTGGGTTCTCAGCCATGTTCTGGAGAGTGAGACTTTGTTTAACATTGCTTAATCGATTCACTATGTGTCTGTGTATACACTCATTTGTTCTTTATCCTTGGTTAGACAGAAGAGAACAGTAATTGACCTTGAGGCTTTTCAGGTGTGAAAGTGCCTGGCATTTTTTAACAGTTAAAACAAATCCAAGGCCAAGGAATCAGCAATAATTCAATCTTTATGGTGCCAGTGCTTGACTGACAGATACTACTTTGTGAAAGACTTGTAGTCCTTGTTAAAAAAAAAATTTGGGCTAGTAGCGTGGGATCAGGAGCAGCAGTAGAAGACAAAGATATTTTTTTCCTAAGGTGTTTCTCAACTCCTGAGCGGTGTTCCTGACCACACCATGGGTTCTGGTTGCAGTCGGATGCGGTTGGGTTACAGCCTTGTCTCGCTCCCGCCAGCAGCTTTTAATGGACTTAAAAGGTCCTCATCTCCCAGAGGAAGACTTTCACTGCTATGTCATGTGTGCATTTATGTGTGTGTCTGAGGACGACAGAGAAAGAGAGGGAGAGAGCTCAATAGACAAAGAGAGTCTGTGGTTGCGTATGTATTTGTGTGCGAGTCTTTGCACTTGCTCAAAGAGCTCACTGGGGCTTGTTAGGGTCTGCCTTTATGATCCCAACAAAAGAGGTTAATGTGAAAGCCCGCTGCCCTCAGGTGTAGCACAAACCCAGATGGTTTCTCTTCTCTTGGAAGCAGGATTAATTGCTCCCCTTCTGCTTTTCTATACTTTTACGCTCTTGCTGTCTTTTTTGCTCTACTCTCTTTTTTATTATTCTCTTTGCTCATTCTAGAGTGAGGGTTTTAAGGAAAGCTTGTATAACAAAGTGGCCATTTGTCTTAGACACCCTGCTGAGAGGACAAACAGAACGAAGGGCAAAAGGGGGTAGAGGACTGAGGGATAGCAGATGAGATTGTCACTCTCATTAAACTTTAGAGGAAAAGCTACCGGGTTAATAAAAGGGTGTTGGTTAAATGAGCAGTGTAGTGTTGTTTTGTGGGAAGTTTTTAAACACTTGATCCCATGGAGTCATTACGTTAACGGGGTAATGAGTTTGCTCTACAAAGGGAAGATGAATTAATCCAAGTGCTCTTGCTAGAACACATTTTTAAAGAGCTCTAGTAAAGCCTACCATAAAAGAATGAAATATTTAGCATTTAGAAATAACTGAATTTTATCTTGTGCTATAATTCTGCTAAAGCGTCAAAGTTAATAGGTTTAAGGTGTATAATGTGTCTTGGTTCATTTAAAAAACAGAAAACTGCACAGGTGGATTTTCCAGAGCTACGTACTTTCTCTTGTGAGAGCCAAACTCTTTATACAGACCCCCGCTACACTGCCTCCTATCTTTTCCCATGCCTCAAAGATCTTGGAGACACTGATGCATGGGGGAAATAGGAAAGATAATTGGAATTGATTAGAGATGATTAGGAAGAGACGGAGTTAGTTAAAGCTTCCTGTGATGGATGACCCCGACAAGAAGGCATGGGAACAGTGGCTCGGAGGTGAGAGGCGCTGCGCAGAACATCACTGAACAATAACAGTGAAAATAGAGTTGCATTCATCACTGTTAACGACCTGTTGCCCCCCTCTCACCACCCTTGACTACTCCTTATCCCACTTCCACTGCGCTTCAGATCTGTAATCTACTCATCCATGTTTGTAATTAGTGTGCTTTCGCAGTGGGAGAGCAGGAGGAAGGAAGGACCGCAGGATGGAGGGAAAAAAGTGGCATAGGTGAGTAGAGTCGGGGGCGTGTAGAGCAATTGGTCTGATAGCTGGCCCCAGGGAATAGCATCTGGTTTAGGCTGACGATGGGTGACTGGGGGAGGAGGAGACGAAGGGGTATTTTGAGGTTTTTGAGCAAGCGTATTTGCTTGGGACAGCAACACAGGTTTGTTTAGAGGGGGTGTCGCGTTCGATAATGACCAACTTTTTGTATTATGTTGTGGGTTAAGAAGATAATCAGGGAAGGTTTTCCCTTGTATAACTCCCCAGGAAAGATGAGGGAGGTGGAGGGATGTGGGAAGGGTGTGGTAGTACCTGCACTACAGGGGAGCTGAGGAAACCCTGGCAAAGGTTTGAAAAAGGGGGTGTGTCTCATCCGTCTTTAAGAAGCTTTTTTACATCCTTCAATTTAACGTTAATGCCTGGCAACGGGTACTCAAATATACACAAACACCAAACGCACACACACACACACATTCACTGAGACACACAGGCAAATGTGCACACACAAGAGAAAGAAAACTGAGGGAAAATGTAAATAACACTAATTAGACACAAACACTCAGAGAATAACACTATAATTAGATCTCTGTGTGTGGATGGTATGCATACACAAGGGATTACGTCCTTTCTGTGGCTCTGACTGTAGATAAAAGAGCCGCTTCAGATATGTGTTGATGCAAAGCTGCTTCTTCTGTGTTTGTGTTGGAGAGATGCTGTGTTTTGTGTTTGTTGATTGCTTGATGCTTAGGGAACAGGAGCTCAGAGTGAAAATAAAGAATTATTTAGGGTAGGAAATCTTGAATAAAGTGCACTATCATTAAGCCTATAAATCATCTCTCTGTCACAGTTTTCCCACTTGTTTTGACTTTGTTACCATTCAGCACATATACACTATTTTCCCCTTTTCATTTGCTTCAGATTGATTGGCTTGTAAACTTGCTCCAGTGTTCCAAGACTTTTTGTGCCATAAAGCAAGCAAATTAACTCTTTTGACTTTTGACTTTTTGTGTATGACTGCGTGAAAGACTGAGTTGAATGTGTGTGTGGGGGTTTTCTCTCCTCGTGACCGTTTGTGTTTGTATAATACTGTGCTGTGTAGGCGTCTTTGCATGCATGCATGCATGTGTGTGTGCATCTGGCAGGCTGTTAATGCTTCAAGCTGGTCTTGTTGTTTCCTTCTCTTTGTCTCTTCTGATGAATGACCTGCCTCAGTGTGCTAGGACTCTCTCTCTTCCTTAGAGGACTGTTTGGGCTCCCGCTTGGCAGCAGTCCCCATGGCAACTCATCTTCATCAGAAGGTTTCTGTGCCATCAATGGTAGACATCCTGATTTCTTGACTGTGGTTTGTCTGACACTAAGTAAATAATGACAGCACAGACTTCAGTGAAGCTAGCTTCAGACTTCACACTGTGTATCCATTTCGAAACTTCCATCCAGTACATTGTATACACTATGAAGTTACTTGCACAGTATGTGAATTGTGACAGTATTGTCATTATGGTAGTACGTTTTTATTGAACACACTTAACAAAAATGGTTGTAATGTTTGACTGCTATTGTAGCTTTAGCCACACGTTTTATGTGCATCTTGGCCAGCCTCTGACTATGCATGCTATTGAGATCTTCTATGGTGAAAATGACAGTTTAATTTGGACATCCAACTATTTTTTTTAATCTGCTGCTATTGGCTGTTTTGTTAGCATTTGCATCTCTCACTCAATTGCCCAAATGGTCTTTGGGTTTTCTGACAGTGTTTCAAA